GCTCATCTCGCTTTATTGGCCAAGGGAGCCGGCGTACAGCTTCCGGGTCATGTGGCCAGCATGACTAAGCTGCTTCTGGCGAACCAGAGCAGTGCATGGAAACGCCGTTTACCTTCCCGCCAGAGCGGTACCTATTTATCTACTTGCACTTTGATGTGCTTTCGAACTGCTAGGTTGGCAGGAGCAGGGACCGAGCAACGGGAGCTCACCCTGTCGCAGGGATTTGACCCTCTGACCTTCTGATCGGCAAGCCCTAGGCTCTGTGGTTTAACCCACAGCGCCACCCGCATCCCTCCACAACAGAAGTGGGGGAGGCCAATTCTCACTAGGCCTGCTGTCTTGTTTGCGTGAAAGAATGTATACTTGTTGATTTGTACAACTCAGCTATTGCATACTCTGGTACACAAACTGTTCACTTGCTGTACATTATTTGTGAGTAACTGTATGAGTGTACAGTTCAACTATGTGTGTGCACAGGTACACAGAATATATACTCATGGAATGTAACATGTGAACACCACTGTGAGAGTGGCAAGGGAGAAAGGGAAGGAGCCTTATCTCTCCAGTCCCCAATAACAACCAGAATGGATATTTCACATGCAGACACACACACACACACACACACACACACACGCCTTGCATGAAAAGTCCCTGTTGATCCAATTGGGACTTTTCCCCTATGACTCCTCTTTCTAGTGGGACGGACCTCCACTCCAATTACAGTGGCGGAAATGAAGAGATAAGCTTCTGCTTTCTAAGGGCTGCCATTGCAGTAGAAATTGCATTGGTTAAAGCATGGGTAGGCAAGCTAAGGCCCAGGGGCTGGATCCAGCCCAATCGCCTTCTAAATCCAGCCTGCGGACAGTCCAGGAATCAGCATGTTTTTACATGAGTAGAATGTGTCCTTTTATTTAAAATGCATCTCTGGGTTATTTGTGGGGTGTAGGAATTCATTCTTTTTTTTCTTCCAAAATATGGTCCAGCCCCCCACAAAGTCTGAGGGACAGTGGACCAGCCCCCTGCTGAAAAGGTTTGCTGACCCCTGGGTTAAAGAAAAACAAGATACATAGCTGTCTTCTATGTTTTCAGCACATGGTGGCGAAGGAGTTTCTCCTCATTACAGTGGTACCTTGGGTTACAGACGCTTCAGGTTACAGACGCTTCAGGTTACAGACTCCACTAACCCAGAAATAGTACCTCGGGTTAAGAACTTTGCTTCAGGATGAGAACAGAAATCGCACGGCAGTGGCACGGCAGCAGCGGGAGGCCCCATTAGCTAAAGTGGTCCTTCAGGTTAAGAACAGTTTCAGGTTAAGAACAGACCTCAGGAACAAATTAAGTACGTAACCAGAGGTACCACTGTACATGGGAATGGTACCAGAGTACCACATTAACCAGGTTCTGGCTGCAGAAAGCTGGTGTGCATTTTAATAGCCAACTACATTTCTTGTGTACTAAATTACATCATTCTTTAGTCAGAATTCATTGTAACAGGCAGTCTTTGTACTGAGTGGGTGTTGTTTTGCTTTGCCATTTATACAGCTTAAGCTTTCCTAAAGCTTAAGTTCACAAAACAAACAGCAGCAGTTCATGAGGTGAGTAATTGCTGAGGCCCTCTAGTTATCTGCTAAATGTTTGTGGTAGCCCTGATGGTTCTATACGACCTGCGTTTCCAACGGGCATTTTCTAGGAAATTTTTATTTGATTTAGCTTCTTCTCAGAGACCCACGCCCGCCTGTGTCTTCTCTGATAAGTTAACTGTGCTGTTCAGTGACCATTCGTCTCTCAGGGCAGGCAAGCAACATCAGTTATCTGCTAAAAGCTTTAAAAAAAATACAGGCTGGTTTTGCAGACAGCTCTAACACTGGGATAAATACAGATAAGAAAATGAGTGACATGAACTCTTGGGCTGATTACCCTTCTCTGCTGGTTCCATGCAAATAAAAAGTGGATTAGAGGCTGGACCACAGGGGGTATTTCCATCTCTTCCTCTTTTTCTCAAGAGACATAAGAGAAAAGGGAATATCCCTGTGAGGAATCAGTTGTTTAGTGGCTTCAGCAGAGATAGGCAAGTGCATACACCAGCACTGCCTTCACCCATGAGATGGGCAGTGGAATTCAAGGTGGGATCTCCAAGCTCACGATTCTCAATTATGACTTCTGCAATGTCATAAGGGTAACTTACAGTGCCTTGGAGTACTATGTCCAGCTCTGGGTGCCACAATTTAAGGAGGATATCATCAAGCTAGAACATGTGCAGAGGAGGGTGACCTAAATGATCAAGGGCCTGGAAACCAAGCCTTATGAGGAACAGTTGAGAGAGTTGAGTATGTTTAGCCTGGATAGGAGACTGAGAAGAGATGATATGATAGCCATCTTCAAATATCTGAAGGGCTGTTGCATGGCAGATGGAACACGCTTGTTTTCTCCTGCTCTGCAGAGTGGGACTCAAACCAATGGCTTCAAGTTACAAGAAAGGAGACTCCAGCTAAACATTAGAAAGAACTTTCTGACAGCAAGAGCTGTTCAACAGTGGAATGGACTCCCTCAGATGATGGTGGACACACTCCTTCCTTGGAGGTTTTTAAGCAGAGTTTGGGTGGCCATCTGCCATGCATCAGAGGCTATAGACTCTCTCCAGCATAAGAGTTTGGTGCTTTGGTACTGTGCTTGCCATCAGTCTTGATCAGGGATAGGCATTTGAACTACTCGCAATAGGCACAGGAAGTGGCCCAATTCCTGTGTTGGTAGTATAAAGAACAACCAGTAATGCACTTGAAGAAAATGACTGAGAATAACCTGTGGCAATGATAACCTGGTCTCACTCTAAAATGCTGAGTCATTTTCTTCACCAGTGAAAACCATTCTGTATTTCCAGCACTCAGGCAGAAACCCATCTTGATAATCCAACATAAAACAGTCTCTGCTTATTTGCCATCACTGTCTAAGCTCTTTCCATGCTTATTTCACAATGGATGATCTTCACTAGGAAGCTATTGAGGAATGTGGGATGAGAAAGGGCTGCCTTAGCAGCTATGCAGCTGAATAAGCACTAAAGGCCTGAAGAATTCAATATAATGGATGTGTGGGAATTTTGCTGCCTTAACCCTTGTCAATTACAAAATGCTTTACAGAACAGGAAAATGCTCAACTCCTCTAAGTATTTTAGGTTTGCTTGCTCAATCCTACAGTGCTTCTTAAGGCATTAGACACTGCAATTGACATAAGGGTGGGATGGGAATGTGAAAATCCATTAGGAAAGGAGATGGGGAGGGAAACCAAAGTTGCTTTTCTACACCCTCGGTTGCAATAACCTTTTACTGGAGAAAATCATCTGTTAATGCACTCTTTAATTTCAAGATAGAAGGGAGAAAGAAAGAAAAGAGGAAAAACAAGGCATCTACCTCAAGTGGGAAAGGCATTTATGTTGGCTGAGAACATATAGACTGCAATATAAATGAACTTTTCTTGGAGATTCCTGCTGAAATTTAATGAACATGTTTCTTTGTTCACTCCTCCAAACAATCATGTTCCTTGCTCTCATCGTTCCATATATCCCAAAGGCTTATAATTCATAATTTATTTATTTATTTTTTAAAAAAATTATCCTAAATGGTGTTGGGAAATTCCTGGTTTGCAGATCAACATCATAATGATTTTGAACCCAGCCCATGTTTTCTGGATGATAGCATCAGGACTCCCGGTCATGGCAGAAGTCAGATGGAGAGAAGGGATGCAGTCCAGTTTTCATCATGTTTTGTTTTGTAGAGTCACTTTCTCAATCGTGGTATATTTTTCACTGGCCTCAGCATTTGAGCAACATCCTTAAACCTAATCATGGAAGAGCCAAACAGGGCAATGCAAATGCTTCATTTTTCTCTTTCCTAGAATAGAAGCAAAGGCAGTAGCTAATGAAATATAGGCAGTAAGCTGCTTGGGCAAGGGCCTGTCTTTCTTGGGCTTATGTTACTCTGAAGAGTGCAATGAACACTGGTATACATACTGTATAAATAAAAACTATAATTTCATATAAGGAACAACTAGTAGGAGCAGTAGACCCTGAAGAAATACACTGAAGCACCCATACAGTGGGGAGGAAACCCACTATCTGTCTTAATGCAAAGAAATCACTTGGACAAAACTACTTTCTGAAGTGTATCCTTATTGTATTTGTAAGAAAAAGTGAGTTGTTGTTGTTGTTGTTGTTGTTGTTGTTGTTGTTGTTGAAACATAAAGAAAGTATCCTTATTGATAAGCACTACATCTTGGAGACTTGGTTTGAAGAGTAAAATTCCATTAGTTTGGGAACTGAAGGACTATATCAGCACACACAGCTCTCTGATTTTTAGCTAAAACCCCACTTTTAGCAAGTGGTCTCTCATTTCATTTTCAGCCCAAATGCTGCTCAGGGACAAACTACGGTACACATGACAATGTGTAGGAATAGATGGATATAATTTTCACTCTTTTGCAACTTTTACAAATAGCAGCCAGGGCATCTAATAAAGACTGGGACTATGGTATGGGGGTTTTTTAGTCTCCCTCACTGTTTTCCCAATAAATAAACACACACACACACACACACACACACACACACACTGTTGCTTGTAGGCATATGTGGCACAATCTTGTGCTTAATTGCGGCTTCTCCAGTGGATGCATATACATTGATCAGCATAGGTGACAGACTGGAACCTTGAGGGAAGCCACATTTCAAGTCTCTCAGGGATGACCGCCTAATCCTCATCATCCCAGACATGAGAAAACAAGCCAACCAGTCGAACGTGTTCGTTGCTCCATCAGTGACTAAAAATTTAAAAGCCCCATTAAGACATTTGACCGCAGAGACAGCAGAGTGAATCAGGATTCTTCCATTTAACAGGATGCACTGCTTTGCCTCAAGGCCTGTGGCTTGTGGGTTCTTGGCGTTCAGGCACACTTCCTTTGAAGGGAGAATATAATAAAGGCGCTCATTTGGATTCTTTTATTCTTGTTTACAGGTCAGCACTTCCTATTACTCGGCCCCTGGGCCCCTGGGGCAGCCGACAGCCATTGTCACCCTGCCTCATTTACAGCAACACCTGCCGGTGAATATGTACGTAAAACTCAGTCCTTATTCATTAGGTGGGTAGGGCCTTTGGCTAGGGCCGGAGATGTTGTTGCCTAGCAACCATGCCACATGCTGCCAGTCCCCCACCCCCACCCGCCCACAGGAGTAAACGAATACAGAAAAGAGGATGAAGAAGAAGCCCTTGCGGGGTTACTGTCCCACAAGCACCAGCTAAAATTGAGACAACTCTTTTTACAGAGATACTTCATTCAACTTAATCTGAAATTTAAACTGGCTTCTGAAATTTAAACATGGGCATACAAAACACTTAGCATGGGCAAGAAGATCGGTTTAAAATTCAGCTCCCAGAATTATGAGACCCATTAGTAAATGTGATCGCTTTTGAGTTGCAGAACCTGAAGAATCATAGAACTGTGGGGTTGAAAAGGGACCTTGAGGGTCATCTAGTCCAACCCCCTGCAATGAAGGAATTTTTTGCACGACATGGGGCTTGAACACACGACCCTGAGATTAAGAGTCTCATGCTCTACTGAATGTCCATGACATATCTGGGGTGGGGGTGAGTTTTGGGTGGTTAGCTACTGAAATGTCATGTGACAGGAAGGAGGTACCCAGGCAACAGACCTGAGGACCAAAAAACTGGTGCTGAATCATTAGGTGTAACCTCCCTGCTGCAGCCTTCCCAGTATGTGCCATTTGGGGCTGATGGAAGTTGAAGTCCAGAACATCTGGAGGATTCCAGATGTGCAAAGGCTGTCCTACTGCTAAAGGTTTTGAAAGGAATTCTGTTCTTGCCAACTAATTACATAGCTGTTTTATACTCAGCTACATATCTTTCCTTTGATCACATCCACGCCATACATTAAAAGCACACATTTTCCCCCAAAGAATCCTGGAATCTGTAGTTTACCCATGACAGAGTGAGACTTCCTAGCACTCTTGACCAACTAGAATTCTCAGGATTTCTTGAGGGAAGTTGTGTGTCTTAAATGTGTGGTGTGGGCATGACTTTTGTGTTGTTCACCACACCTCTTGTTTGGGCTGGTATTCGTCTCTTCCTCCACTCATGCATCTCAGTGCATTTCTGAATCCTGACCTTATTGCTTTGGTACGGAGCACATTAACCCAGCCCATTTGGGAGTGCCCTGCCCTGTACATTTTTTACCCATCCATTCAGCATTCTTGATGAGTTGCCTTCCCTCAGTCTTATTCAGGAGCTATTGGGACATTCTTGCATTGTGTAGCAGAGGCATTGTTTGAAGAGGGCTCAGACACGGAGCTTTTGTTTTGGCAGAAGTCACAGCCACAGATCCCAGCGTGGTTTTGGAGCAGGTAGTTGTGTCATAGCCTCGTCGCATTGCATAAATGGAACTGCCTCTTCCGAGTACGTAGCGTCACTCTTTAATTCCTTCTGTTTCACCAGGTGCGTTGCTCTGCACTCCTACACAGCTCACAGTCCAGACGAACTAGAGTTGCAGAAAGGAGAAGGTATCCGTGTTTTGGGAAAATACCATGAAGGCTGGCTAAAAGGAATGTCGCTGGTTACAGGAAAGGTTGGAATCTTCCCCAGCAATTACGTCGCTCCACTTTTCAGGTTTGGCTTATGCTTTTTATATATGGACAATGGGGGTAGAGGGAGATATGTGAGTACAGTGGTACCTCGGGTTACAGACGCTTCAGGTTACAGACTCCGCTAACCCAGAAATTGTACCTCGGGTTAAAAACTTTGCTTCAGGATGAGAACAGAAATCATGCTCCGGAGGCACGGAGGCAGTGGGAGCCCCATTAGCTAAAGTGGTGCTTCAGGTTAAGAACAGTTTCAGGTTAAGAATGGACATTTGGAACGAATTAAGTTCTTAACCCGAGGTACCACTATAACACCAAAAAAAGTGTCAATGTGGACTTCTGCAGCCCAAATTGAACTTTATTTGGCTCAACATGACTGGATAATGCCAGGAATGGGGCTGTAGGTCTGCCCACACGCATTTTAGAAACTCTAAAGTACAAAAATTCTAAGCAAAATTCTAAATCTATTGTAACAATTAGTTAATCGACCTAGCACAAAACAGCTTTGTAGTGGCTCAGCAATGAATCAAAGCTAGGGCTAATTTTGTTTCTGGTAAGATAACACATCTAAAGCCCAGAGAACAGAATGAGATGTTCATCCAAGAGTTGGTATGACTCATCAGTGACACTTTATGGCACAATACCCCTTATTTCATCTGTTTTGCAAGTAATCATATGAACTGTATGGGAGTTTTACCTATGTCTGAAAGATGAAATCATGGTTATTCCTAGCATTACTGCCAGCATCCACTGAATCTGTAAGAGCTACCATATTGGCTATACAAACTGACCTACAGGGCAGACTTCTTCCTTTACATTTGAAGTTGACCTTTTTACAATGCAGCATATTCATTGGTCCATCCAGGCAGGGGCACCAACTATAGGGGGCTCTGAGTGCCACCGGAAGTCAGGTTCTGAGGCTGGGGGGCACACATGGCATCATGACATCACAAGCACTGGGGCCCAAGTCGGCTCCCCTGCATCCAGGGGATATTTCAGATGAGTCATCAGGAAGCTAAAAATATATACCATTGTGTTTATGCTAATGAGAACTCACTTTTATATTCAATATGAAAGAAGGGTCTTGTGTATCTTCTCCAACACTTAGCAGGGAAGGAAGCCGAATAGGAAAATGGTTAAAGCCATAAAATCAACCACCAAGTAATGAGGAATGGGATGAGCAGCTCCCAGTCACCATGCCTCTTTCTAGAACATCTCCTGGAGGCCATGGTCACTTCATGAAACTGACCAACCGCTTCATGAAACTGAGGGGTTTTTTTATATTTAAAAAAATTGGGCTCACAAAACTTTTTAGCTCAGTCAAATAATGTAACAAAATGCGTCTGGCACTGGGCGCCACACTGCGGGGGCCGGCATTTACTGCAGGACCTGCAGCGTGCCCGAGCCACACGTCTCTCCTGGGAGTGACGTGGTGGCTTGGGCACCTGCAGGCTTGACACTGCCTAAACCGGCAGCGTGGGGCTTGCATCTGCCCACTGCCTCTCCCTCAGTGGCCCTACAGCTGAGGGGGAGGTAGCAGAGAGGCTCCACACAGTGCGCCCCACCCCCATGAGTAGCTTGCCCCACCCCTGGCTGCAGGACCCAAATGGCTAGCTACGCCGCTTCCAACTGGAGGTTCAGGTTAGACAAAAGCAAGGATGTTTCACATGCCATGTGTCAATGAACACTAATGCACATAAGCTTTAAAATAGTGTTGGATAAAAAATTGTGGAAGATGGAAGTCATATCCCTATAGTTGTAGTCCCTTTCCAGTCTGTCCTTCAGATGCTGATCCATAGAGGCTCGCAGAAGAAAAAATGAGAGGAAGGGGCAAGTGGAGATAATAAAAAATAGAGGGGAAAAGAGGAAGGAGTCAGAAACTGTGAAAAAGCAAAGGCTGAATTAAGAAGCAGCTTGTTTGTGTCCTCCTGCATCCTCCTTACCAGCAACAAGATACATAGCTATTAATCATGATACCTATCCAAACAGAGCCTCCATGTTCTGAGGAAGTTTATATTTGGATAGTGAAGCTACCTTTGAAGTTCATTACCATTACTGCTTAATTACCACTGACGGAAGCACGCGTCTTCTTGTCACCAGAAACAAATTAGCAAAACATTTATCTAGACAATGTTGATTGAGTCAGATAGAATAAGAAATGATGATAGAGATACCATGACTTAGACCAGCCTTCTCCAGCTTGGTGCCCACCAGAAGTTTAGGACTACCACTGGCTGTGGCTGATAGGGGTTGGAGTACCAAACTTATTGAGGGCACCAGGCTGAGTTAGACTATAGAAATTCCGGCCGTAAGAAATAACATTGTTGCTTAACGAGGGCAGACAATTCCATGATGTAATTATTTAGGAATGGCTCCTCTTCAGCAGGTTGGACTCCTGACAAATTAATTGTGGATTGTTCTAGCTTCCAGCAGCACCTATAACAAATAGACACTGATAGATAGATGACAGTGCAGGCAGAATATGTGCAAAGATGAACAACTCCCCAGATCAACTAACTCCATTTTCATATGTAATCATAACAAACCAGCATGGATCTCTCTCACGCACACCAAACTGTTATGGTAGGAGTCAGCTAAGTTTTACTCAGAGGAGCTCCAATGAAATGAATGAATATGATTCAGCCAGATCATTATGCTCAATAGGCCTACACTGAGTACCTCCCTTACTCTGAAGTGAGAGAGCAGAAGAGGTCAATGCCATCGTAAAAGTGAGTTGTTGAAGTTACTCCAAGGAAGTAGATGACATGTAGAAATCTAGTCAAATGCAGGCTGTGAATCAAGTTAGAAAAGTGCAATTTTAATGGAGAATATTGATGTGTGTGTGTTTTAAAAAAGTATTCGGGGGGGGGGTTATATACTGAGTTAAAATCCACAGTGGACTTTGGCCTGCTTCTGCTGTGATTCACCTTAAAAGTCTCATCCAGTCTTTGAAAGATTTCCTCTTCATAATAAAGGCAGTTCTGTCTGAAATCACTAGAAACTGCTAAATGCAGTACAAGTTGCCTACCTGTTTGAGGGTCAGTCAAGTAAGATGAGGGGAGCTGTCATTTCATTATTTTTTGTTGTTTTATTATGGAGCTCTTCATTGTTTAAATGTTATTTGTTGGACTTGTTTTTATAGAGCCTGTAATTTTTGTATAATGTTTTCATTATCCTGTATATTATTAGTAGTAGTATTTTATGTCATTATTGCCCTGCTCCAAGACTGAAATATAAAAAGCAGGTGACAAAACAAAGCAAAACAACAACAACATTTATTTTTTCCATGCATATTTAAGAAACAAACAGTAATTTCTATTGCTACAAGTCAGGTTTTGTTGTTCAGGTTTTCAAGAGCCTAGTTAGGAGAATGCAGGAATCTTTGGGTATGTTCCCCACTCCCTGCCTCTCATCTCATCCCCCTAGAAACTGACGCTTACCTGTAGCCTGTAAGGCATATTCTGCAACTGATCTTCCCAGCACCTTAGCTGAAGTTTGGAATCCCTTCTCTCTTTGTGGACTCACAGTGGTGACATAGGTTACTTGTATCTTTATGGTGAATAGACTTCAGAGCAAGATTGTTGGTTATCTTGTCAGTTAAAGGAGGTTCGGTTCAGTTGATTGAGGTTGCACCTATATGGGTGTTTTGCTTGTTAATGAAATACCTGTTCTGAATAATTACAGTGGTACCTCGGGTTACGTACGATTCAGGTTACATACGCTTCAGGTTACAGACTCCACTAACCCAGAAATAGTGCTTCAGGTTAAGAACTTTGCTTCAGGATGAGAACAGAAATCGTGCTCTGGTGGCGCGGTGGCAGCAGGAGGCCCCATTAGCTAAAGTGGTGCTTCAGGTTAAGAACAGTTTCAGCTTAAGAACAGACCTCCAGAACGAATTAAGTACTTAACCCAAGGTACCACTGTACATTGAATCTGGAACTTCATACTGCTGCTGCTGCTGCTGCTACTACTACTACTACTACTACTAATAATAATAATAATAATAATAATGAAGCCACAGTTCTACAATGCAATAGGTAATGCAATGTGAAAGGAACGTTATTCTCCAGGACAGAAGCACTAGGTGGAAAGGGTGCTTGGTAGTTGCAAGACAAGGAGGTCACCATGGTGGTGGTCTGCGTGCAAGGAGGGAGGGTTGCACAAAAGGAGAGGCAAGGAGACATGGGGCTGAAGGTGAAAACAGGAATGCAAAGTGTAGGTGCAGAATAGAAGCGGCTTCAGAAATGGGGTTGGGAAGGTGAAAAGGGAGCTTTGTCACTGCATGAGATGGGAAGGGAATGCTCTAGGGGGTTAATGTAGAGGAACAGCAGGAAGGGTGGGTGAGAAGAGCAAGTAAACATAAATGCAGGGTTTCACAATGGTGAAAAACGTATGATAGGGCTGCCATACGTCCAGAATTCCCAGGACATAGCCTGGATTCGTCTGTCCAAAATGGCATCTAGGCAGAATTTTCAAAATTGGTTAAAATGTCTGGGAGGGGGTGGGAAGCTTAACAGCTTTTGTGTCTGGATTTTCACTTTTTGAAATATGGCAAACCTACATAAGGAGATCTGTAGCTTCACAGAACAAAATAAAACAAAAGCTTTATGGACCTACTTGGGGCCTTGTCATATTTTGTGCCTGACAAAATGGGCAATAGAAACAAAGGAAAGGAAAGGAAGGACAAGCCGAGTCATTTGGTCAGTGCATCTCAGGCCATAATCCTATATTCACTTGCCTAGGAGTAAATCCCTTTGAACTCAATGGAAATTACGGCTGAGTAGACATGTGTAGGATTGCACTGTCAACCACGATGCTGAATACAGAGTTAGTTCAGATGGGTCTCAACTCTTTCCACATCTTGCTTTAAGTTCAAGAAAACTATTTGTCTTTCTTAGGCACAGTGTAGCTTAAGTTGATTGTGATCATCTCAACCGCAAACGTAATATCTGAACAACCCAATATGAAGTACAGGAAAACTGAATGAAAAATGCCAAGTTTTAGTCTTTTGTCAGAAATATGGAATGCCCTAGTAGAAACCTAACTATCCATGTTATTGCTTTTACTGAGGACACGCTTTTACTCATTTCTTCCCCTGCTTATATTTCACCACATGAAATTGCACTGTTTAAATTGGAAACACCACAGCTACTTTGGGCCTAGAATTATCCCTTCTGCTATCCACTAAACTCCTTCACATTGAAATGAGCCGGTGAGTATTCTTCATCTCTCTGGCTCATTTCTCCAGGATATGGCCTCTGAAAACACCATGGCCATGCTTCACCAATAAAACCAAACAAACAATCAAAAGATGAGCCCAGAGACTTCGGAAGCAGCTTCATAAAGTGCCTCCATCGTGAACACCAATTTAAAGGCCTGCTATTGTGTGTCTTCCTTTGGAAATCACCTCATAATAAATGGATGCCTGGGTTATTTTGATGAATCGCTGCCCCATTATTAAATCATAAATCATTTTTTTCCAGAGCACAGAACGACGACGGGAAGGTAACAAAGGAGTGACAGAAGTTGCTGCCTTTCCCCCAGCCAGCCCCTCTCTCAGAAGAGTTGGCACAAATACTTCTCCATGGCTCAGTTTCTCCTGAGCAAATTAGGAGCACTTAGGAAGCTTATTTAAGCACCCTGCTCAAGGTGGAAGATTGATGGCCTTCTCAGCAATTTAACAGATTTAGGTGAAAGTGCTATGTGGCCTCGTCAGGGAAAGCAGATGCAGAAAGAAATAATCAGAAGTGACAGCAACACACTTTGGGGAAGTGGGGGGGGGGGACATTGCTTGGGAAATGGAACCACAAGTTGCAAAGAGCACAAAGACTCCCTCAGATATTTCCTTCAGGATCGCTGCCCTCCTTGGCGCTCCATCAATCGGTCCATCTGAATTTAACTCAGGCAGTTAAGGAGAATTGGGAGAGCACAGCCCGTCATTTTTGCCTATTAAGCAGCACAGGTTGTTGTTGTTTTTCACCACCGTAAACTGTGAACAGCAAAACAGAAAAGCAGCAGTTTATAAAATGAAGCAAGATTATTTCACCATGGCTAATTTGATCTTTAGTGGTGCGCTGGTCTCTTCCCTGAGAAAAAGATTAGAGTAGCTTGAATCCACCAAGAGCTCACATTTTATATCTGCTTCCCTGCTGTCTTAAGTTTTGATAGACAAAATGAATCCTGCAGCTGCTCTCCTGCTCAGCCCTCTATGCACACTAGAAAAGATGAAATTAACTCTTGATACGTTTGCACATACTTATTACCTTCACTGCTTTCTCCCAACTCCTCATTTTTTTACTTCAAAGTTATTTACTTTGCTCTCTGAAACATTAGTGCACAAAAATGTCCATTATTTGGTCACCCTGCCACCCACCCATTTTTTACTGTTGGCTAAATACCTGCCAACATCAGAAACAGCAATGGGGGAGACTGCCACCTCCACCTGTTGTGCCACCATCGCCCCATACCTGCAATCCAGTAACCTTTTTTACATGTACAATTACGAAAAAGGGCACTGTACACAACTGCAGATTGTAAACATTTGTGCACACTACAGCCGTCTCAAGGGCAAAAAACATTTGGGTGTGGGCTCCTCCAAACAACCTGTTCATTGAGCGTTCATCCTTGCACAAAGCTTTTATGGAGGTTAGGGCATGTCTGGTCTCTTTCGAGCATTTGTTCTGATTTGTTTTGGGGAGGCTATACGACAGTGAGCATTCATCCTGATTTGCTTGTGTCTTCCCGTTAATCATTTGTCCGTTCCACACTTTTCAGTGCATTTCCCCATCACTTTCCTAACCACTAAAAGTCAATTTTTTAAAGGACTTTGCACTAGGGCAACAAAGCACATTAATCTGCTCCAACTGCCATAACTTAAATTTTCAGAGTGTGTGTTTGAATCCCTCTCTCAAAAAACTAACAGGCTAGAGGCAACCTCAGGCAGTATGTTATCAGCTAACAATGAAAGATCACCCTTTTCTGAGGATTTATTCTTAGCACTAGCATGCAAGCACCAGGAGGTTTCTTGTACACATTCAAATTTTCTCACACCACAGAAACATTTGTGCTGCAGATTTGAACCAGAGTAATAAGTAATTATGAGGTATATTCTTTAACATGCTGAAATGTAATGCAAATGCCCATTAGTTATGTGCCATATTGCATGGCCTATGTCATTAAAAGATGGTGTAGTGATGATGATTATTTTGCTGTTGTTATTTTGTCGGAACATAGCCTCTGTCATTAATATAATTATTAATGCACAGCGGGGGGGGAGAGAATTCTGGAGAAAGATTAAAGTGGAAGGATATTTCAGAATGTACAAATGCTTGCTGGTTGGATTTCCCACTTTGTCCTTCTTTTTCTAACTAGGTAACAAAACTCCTGGATTTGAATTGTGCAGCTGCATTTGCTCCCTAATTATCTGTTTCTTTCTCTCTCCCTCCCTCCCTCCCATTTGACTCTCCTAAACAACCAGGAAGTCCTCAAGCTTCCCTGATTCAAGGATGCCTTCCCTCTATGCGACTTGGACATTATCCACTTCCTCACTTTCCTCCCAGGGAAGCATCTCAGAGAACGGCCCAAGGCAAAGCAGACCTATGAAATCTGCCTTCATGCCCGCATCTTTGGCCTCACCTGTGAGGAATGTCTCTGTGCCAAGCACCTCAGGGCACACAACTCCGCAGAGGAGAGGACGTGGCAGCAGTAGGAAGAGTAAGTCCTGGTGAGAGAGAGCCATATGAACCTGTTCCCAAGTGGCTGAGAGATGACTAGAAGCCTTTAATTAGCACATTGAAACTTGGGGCTGATGCAATAAACAGAAATGTTAGGCTAAGCCTCCTGAAGAGCTGGTTGCATGCATACAGCTGGGCTGAAAACTTGCCTTGCCAAAGGCATGGATATACTAGCCAGAGGTAGAGACAAATCCCAAAATGTGTGGTAGAATTAATCGTTCAGACACTACCCAGAGATAGCCAAATCTGTTTCACTATTGTCTAAGCAGAGAAATGCAAGCTTATTATTATTATTATTATTATTATTATTATTATTATTATTATTAATTTATACCCTGCCCATCTGGCTTGGTTTCCACAGCCACTCTGGGTGGCTTACAACACACAAAAAATTGTAAAACAACAGACATTAAAAATTTCCTGATACACAACTAAATCTCTGTGTATCTCATTGGATATTTGGGGTCTTTGTTTACTTTTTCCCATTAAGAAAAACTGAGATTGCTGAGGTAAAGTAGAAGTGTTGGCAGCAAATTTACAAATATGTATTTGTATTTGTTCGGAATTCGGGACTCCCATTTGTATTCATACCTAGTTGTATGAATACTCAGTGGGATGTGTGGCCAGGTCTTGCGTGTATGTCTCCAGCAGTGTCAGCAGTGCTAGCAGCTGCTTTGTTATTTACCCACAATGTCCTGGGTGTCATGAATGAGGGCATTTGAGAGGAGTAGTGGCCACGATTGTGGGGAATCTTTCTGTATGTGTTTCCTTAACAGGGCGCTGCAGAACACTACAAGGTGTGGTGCATTGTGAATCAATAAAGTGGCAGCTGACGAGAACAGCCACTGAAAACAGATCTCCTGCCTAAAACCAATTTTTAAAAATAAAGGAAATAATGTCACCGTGAAACAAGGGCAGTGAAGCCAATGTGAAATCTACAAGTGGATTTCTATGAATTGATTATGAAATAAATGGCGTCTTTAATAATGAAAACAAATTGAAAAAATGGGGTGGGAAAGATGACAAAGAGTTCACGTTCATTCCTACAGATTGACATAGGTTAAAAGCCATGTCCATGGGGGGAAAACATGAGGAGGGGTGAATGTGAGCAAATATATAAGACACATATTTGGGCTTATATTTCAACCAGAGTCTGAAGGAAGGGTTTAAATCCAAGGCTTCACCAAAATGCACAGGAGGTGCATTTTGAGGCAGTAATGGAAGAAAGTGATGGGTGCTCTAGGAAGCTGCTCCAGGAAGATAGGACAGAAAAGGAGGCAAATGTGTGAACTCTTTTAAAGGAGCAGATTTTGGGGTGACGAATGTTTATAAGAGTTGGAGGCCATATTCAGGATTATAATGCGAAAAAGGTTGGGAAATGGGTTAGGATCACAGTCATGGAGATCTCTGAAAGCAAAGACAAGGAATTTGCATCAAATGTACATGGTGGAGACCAAATAGGTGGCCCTGTTTCTGTTACTTTAGCTGCATAAGGAAAGTAAGAAATTTAGTAGATGAAGATTTTTCTGTCAGAGGGATTAAAGTGGTTGTGGGAAACTTCACACTCTACCCTCTGGCGAAGGACCAGAAAATAAAGGTAGCAAGCTTCCAAAGAAGGTAGAAGGAAAGAGAGCAGGTTTACAGAGGAAGCATTTTTAACTACAGAAACTGGTTGAGCAATTGCAAGTATTACCAAAAAAAAGCTGTGGGACACCAAATACAACCAGCTTTTTTAGTAAATTTCAACCAGCAGTTGAATAATTTAGAAGTCCCATTAATAAGTTAGTGAAGACCAAATAGATGGCACCACTTCATACCAAGTCAAGTCCTTGGCCCATCTCTGGGGTCCCCAGCATGGCATCTTTGTACCCCATGGGCCCTTGGACATCCCCCTTCCCAGCACCCACCAAGGCCCTATACCCCTCTCGGGTTTTGTTTTTGTTTTTAATTTTGGGGTTTGGGAACAAAGGGGTTAGGAATTGCCTGCGTTTGGTGCAGTGTTCTGCATTTTTGAGAGGAAGTTCTAAGCACCGTTCATTTTTCTTCTGTGAGAAGAAGTGGGGATTTTCATAGAGTCTCAGAATTGTATAATTGGAAGGGACCACAAGGGTCATCTTGTAGTGCCCGTGGCAGTTTCCAAGATTTCCAAGTGTGCCTCCAGGCTGGAGACCACCTGGTCTATCTGGTTCAGTATTATCCAGTCTAAGTGGCAGGCAGGTGCTCTCCACATTCTCAGGAAGGAGACTTTCCCCACCCTAGTACCTGAGGTTCTTTTAACTGGCGATATGAAGGAACACGCCTAAAACTTCCTGCATACAGATCATGTGCTTTCCCAGTGTATTATAGCTCCCTTGCAATTTTCTGTCTACCCTTAAAACTCTAAAAGTATTTGGAGTGACTTCCAACAAGCCTGAGGACAAAAATTCAGCTAAGTACTGCAATTCAGCAATTTTGGCCCACCCTTTTTATATAAAATTTCAAAAATGAGCTGCAAAGGGGTTATTATCATCTTTTAATCCTCATCTCTTCTTGAATTCTGCCTCCCCAGATGGATCTTTACAGAAACCTTTGCAACCAGGAGCTCTTATTCCATTTGTCAACTCCCTCAGGCGAGCTCCTGCCACCCAAACACGAGTGCAGCAATCTCCAACTTATCAACATATCTCCTCTCTGCCCCGAGGGATTAGCACGGCTGACACGGGAGCCAGGCCGAATTCCTCCCATGATTCTTCATTCATATTAGTGCCCCGAAGCGGGAATAGCCGAGCTCCTTCTGTGTGTAGCTCAGTAATATTGGACACCAAGGAATTGCCTACAAAAAATGAATCATCTCTAAAGCCACCTGCATCTGCTCCACCCTCCATTCTGGTGAAGCCAGACACATCCAGGAACACCACTGAGAAGGTAACAGTGGGTCTAATTCATCACAGGGGTAGTTTTATATTGCAGGTGTGATTATGAAAAGCTTTGGGGTGCAGGTGGGGATATGGGATATTAGAACTGCAGGACAGGACAAATCATAGTCAACGTACCATTACCTGGCAGGGTAGGTGGAGAAGGGCTTCACCGAAGAACTCAACATTACAATGTAATGATTACATTGACTTTTTTTGTTGACAGAACAGGACTAAGATTCTGTATCATGCTCCTGTATGTGTCATTCATGATTTCTCAAGGAGCATGTCCCTATTGTGAGAGCATACTCCCCATTATGTTAGCTTCTCATTAGCCCAACATCACCATAAATTCAATGCTCACTCGCTCTCTCGCTCTCAACCTGCCAAGATATTCATTCACTTCCCTCTGCAGTCTGCTGGCAAAGATCATCCATGTCAGGGTGGGTTTGTGGATCGAAATGAAAAGATGGAAACTGTGGACATGATTTATCATTGCCACAGGAAGTCTAATTGCTGAATATGTGGTAAAGGTCTTCTATTTCCTGAAGGCTGGGTTTTTGGGATACAAGCCAAAAGAAAATAGAAGACACAAGGTGTAAAGATAGATAATACAAAAGCAAAATAATAAATAATCACTAAGCATCTACATAGCATTTGTGAGGAATCAAAGAACTTCACATACATTTCCCCCCTCTGTTCCTTACAAGAACCCTTTAACATAGAGTTGTCTCCATGATAAAATAAATAAATAAATGATGACTTCCTTAAATGCACCTAGTGAGTTGATGATTTCTGAATCAGGAACTTTCTGATGCACAGATCACCCACTACCAAGCTGAAATATGTATTTGTGCTGACTCTAAATACCTTTTGGAGTGGAGTGGACCAGTAAGCAAGTAGTCGAGGAAACTTTTGCATCTCTCAAAACTCTAAGCTTATATGTTACTTGGTTTTACACCAAATGACACTCTAAAATCCACTCGGCTGTAAAATGGGTAGGTGATCTATTGGGATTCCAAGGAAGGCAAAGGTGACTGGAAACAGTGCTGACTATATTAGCTGACACATATAATGTACTTTTCAGAAAAATGTCCTCCTCTATTTTTTGTTGTTTAGTTGTCTTAGTCGTGTTCAACTCTCCAACTTTCTAATGTTTAGCTGAAGAAAATGTAAAACTGGTTGTAAAAGAAAATGTAAACGTTGTTTGCTTGTCATGTCCCCAGACAGCAAAGACAATGCTGGTGGCAGCCTTGTTGGAATGAAATAACTCCTGGTTTCTCTTCCCTTTCAGCAAGTGAAAACTGTGAGATTTCAGAACTCCAGCCCACCACCATCCAAGAGGCACAGCTCCCTACCTTTACCGACCCTCTCCAATGAGCAAGGAGGGGTCACAGAAGCACCCAAGAGCCCTGAGATATCAGCTCTCTACTCCCACCATATTATCATCGCTAGTCCAGTTTCTCAGAGGAGGATGCTGCATCCCAAGACCTCATCACTGGACCTTTCTGGCCAAGCAGGCCATCTGACCTTTCCGACAAAAAAACATTATAATAGTATCTCTGAAAACTGAGACGGGTAAACATAGTTTAGATTGCTTACAGAGGAGAATGGCAACAAATGTCCAAAGTGAAGCTAACAGCCACCACATACGCCATAGATCTCAGATCCAATCTGTCAACACAAATGTAAGTCTCGTAGAAGAGCTGGGCTTCTTTCAGGCATCTACACCACTGCTGGCTATGTAGTGGATTGGATACCATTTCCCCCCCATATTGGACAGAAGCGTCTTTTTTGAGTGGCTTTGATCTACAACTCAAGCTGCAAGCGTGCATCAGGGATGTGTCGTTCCCCATATGCAAAGACTACCACAAAATTAATTCCATTGCCACAAGTAGATAAAAATATGACGGAGAGGGGAATAGATTGTGAGTATGGCAGGCTATTCAAAAGACAAACTGCTCTAAGAAAGGTTCAGCACTGTACAATGCAATCGGAAAAGCAAACCTGTCAGAAAAAGACTTCTTCTCTATACCTTCCTTTACCTTCTCTGTACTTTGGTTTTCTTAATTTTATAGTGGATGAAACCACTTCCTATCTCCATCCACCCCAGCTCTGGCTCAGTTATCAAATTCTCCTTATATTTTGTTTAGCTTCGCAGTATGCATTTAAAGTACGTGGAGATAATTTATATGAGGTTTTGAAGCAGATTTTCTTTTCTTTTTTTAGAAATATAAAATGTTTCCCAGCCTCATCAGTAGTAAATCAAGGGAGATAATGAAACACAATCCATTAACCACATATTCCCAACAACCAATTTTGGATCCTGCTTCCATGGGATTGGCTGACGTATTATAGTGTGAATTGCACCAAGCAAACCTAATAACCCTATGATTCCAAACCAAAACTAATTCCAAGTTATCAAAAACAAACAAACAAATAAAAAACAAATTCACAAATATGCTTTAAGATATGAGAAACTCATCCTGAAAGCCAAATCCTACCCACAGTTACTTGGGACAAAGCCTCATTAGAAGCAATGGGATTTACATGTGAGTAAACTAGCATAAGAGCAGGTTTCACATGTGAGCATCCCGTCTTGTCACATGTAAGCATTCCAGTTGACCTGGAAGTGGACTAGGGGTGGAGGACAACTTCATTTGGTTCACATTTAAAACGAAACCTAATTTGCACCTACCAGACTAACACAGAGATCAGAACATATTCTTAGGATTCTCAACTCAAATATATATATATATACAGAAAAGATTTTTTTAAATGTACGGTTTATTAGAAATTCATACATAGAAAGAAATTAAGTATTCAAGTATGTATACGTATTTCCAGTGCTTTTTTTCTTAAAAAATGTTTAGGGGTACTCTCATTTTGACTCAAGAAAATCACCATTTTGTATTTCAAATCAGGAAAAATAAATAAAATAAATGGACAAAAGTACAAAGATCCACAAAATGTTTTGGGGTATGCGTACCCCTGCATGACCCCAGAAAAAGCACTGTATATTTCAATACATACTTAAATATTTATTTAAATACAAGTTCTTGTACAATCTTTTAAAAGAAAAATCAGGTTGTTGCAAAATGGAACAGAAGGGACTTATGAATGAACACATTTGAAATTGACATGGATTGATCCATCCACCCCATTGTCCATCCAGCTTCCACCTAGGTCCTCCTGGTCTGTAGCCACTCCTCTGCCTGCCTCCATCTTTATCCACAGGCAGCAGCATGATGTTACTGGAAGACCAGCCAGTTCCACCCCGCAGAAAGCCCCTCTTTTCCTCAGGCTCACCCGCTTACCTTATCAGCAGGTCTCACCCACACAGTGCTTGCTTGCTCCCAGCCTCTCTTGATCTCTCTGGCTAGCTAGCCTCAGCAATAAGGCAGAATGAGAAACGCCATGTCATTTTAACCCAGCTACGACTGATGTTTAGAATAGTGCTCTGTGATAGAACGTTGTTTATTTTCTTCCCACTGCTAGTTCAAAAGCCACGCATTCCGGCCCAAAGCAAGGGAGCATGAGATTTTGTGATGGAACCTGCTGTGTCATTTCAATAAAAGGTTGGGAACTTACGCTCTTGGATGATTGCACAGAACGAACGAAAGTCACACAATAGATGTTTGCCGCTCACGCCAGGTTGGACAACACTTGAGGGGAAGAGTTTTCATTTGGTATCAGAACGAGGGGTTGCTAGGAGTACCCGTTGGCTTAACATCAACCACATTTTCATCTTCATTTGTAGCAAAATGCCACATTGACCCCTATTTCGGAGGCAACCTACCTTCGGAGCCAAAATGCATCCCCATATTGCTTGCAGAACCAATTTTCTGACCTTTGTAGAATTGTGCTCTTTTATTTACCCATGTTAGTTTTGTGACGTCAAGTATGCTTTAATCTTCCCGGTGCATACAGAGTGCAGAGGGGAAGTTCACAAACTACTGAATGCTTAAGGAATAGAGCAAAATGATAAGGTAAGGTAAAGGTAAGGGACCCCTGGATGGTTAAGTCCAGCCAAAGGTGACTATGGGGTGCGGTGCTCATCTCGCATTCAGGCCGAGGGAGCCAGCATTTGTCCACAGACAGCTTTCTGGGTCATGTGGCCAGCATGACTAAACCACTTCTGGCGCAACGGAACACCATGATGGAAACCAGAGCACACAGACCACCGTTAACCTTCCTGCTGCAGCGGTACCTATTTATCTACTTGCACTGGTGTGCTTTCAAACTGCTAGGTTGGCAGGAGCTGGGACAGAGCAACAGGAGCTCACCCCGTCGTAGGGATTTGAACCACCAACCTTCTGATCGACAAGCCCAAGAGACCACAACACCACCCTAGCAAAATGATAAATGGGGCTGATGATTCTAGCTAAGCAACATTTGTTTCAGGTCTATTTCGCGCACGCCTTTCATATGCAGCTGTGTTTGGCGGGAGAGCGTATATCCCTCTACAGCAGCAGGGAGGTCCTCGAATGCAACCCTCTAAGCCTCTCTATCTAGCCCTTCAGACTCTTCCCCACACCACATCTTCTCCTCAGGCCACACCTCTTACCAACTCTGCTTTGCACCCTTGAGTGATTTCTCCTGGGTGGGATGTGTCCTTGAACTCTGATAATGACTCTTGCTTCTCAGGGGGATAGAGAGGGGTGTACATCAGAACTCACCTACTGGGCAAAGTTAAATGGGGATGAGGGTGTAGCTCAGTGGCAGAGCATCTGCTTTGTATGCAAACGGTCCCAGGTTCAATCCCCAGCATCTCTACGTAGGGCTGGAAGAGACCCTGAAACCCTAGAGAGCTGCTGCCAGTCAGAGTAGCCAATACTGAGCTAGGTAGACCAATGGTCTGACTCAGTCTAAGGCAGCTTCCAACGTTCTTCATGTACATTCGTTTCCTTGTCCATTTTTGCCTCTGGCCTCACCCAGCACCGACATGTGGCCTTGGAAGGTTGACCACAAAGGAATACAGCCATCAGGCTTAAGAAGGTTCCCTCATCCCTGCCTTACAGGATCATGTATGAGGAGGAAAGGTCTGTAATCCCCCACCTACTCACACCAGGATGTGGACTGGGGGCCCCGTCCCTGCCATTTGCTCTTTCAAAAACACACTCACAGACTTGTTAACTGGACAAAGGGTGTCACAGCCCAATTGCTAAGAAATATTTTGGAAGCGGAATGTATCTCAGTCAACCTAATAAGAATAAGAATAAGAATGTATTTCTGCACCAGGGATACTCAGCCTTCACTCTGTGTCCACAAAAGCATCCAACTCTTTCCGAAACCGGGTCTTTGGGAGAGAGGGTCACTTTGAGTTCCTCACTATATATAATGTGCATACACATTCATGAGACTCACTTAGGCCAAAAATATTCACCGCTCAAGAAAAAAATATGCAGATGGAGCCACTGGCAAATGCTCTGCTCACTGAAAATAGTGGTGGGTAGATGCCAGCTGCGGGAAACCAACAAAAATACATAGAAAAGTGGGGCTGGCATTTTTTTTGGGGGGGGGGAGACTCCTCTTTCATCCATTTGCATTAGTGTGCTTGTTTCAAAAGCCAAAGCTGGCTAATTCGGCAATGTCGGGGTTTGTGGAGCTGGAAGGGCAGTTTTGCTGCATCAGATGAGGCCCATGGGCCAAAGATCTGACAGGTCTGATGCAAAACCATGACAACCTTATGATTGCTTGCCTTGAAGCAGCAGGAGCCCTGGCACTGGGAAAGCTTTAGCTTACTATATGCTACTGTAATTATCCGCCAAGAGGAGTCATTTGAAAATAAAGAAAAACCTTTCCAGTTCATCGGAAGCAGCTGCTCAGTGCTGGTGCTGTGGCAGATATGAAAACAAAGCTCATTGCCTTTCCGAAATCAAGCTTTCCCCTGAATATAGAGCAGACTAAGCTAAAGCATGAAGGAGCCGCACCATGTCGATTCAAATTACTGAATTGCTATTTGCCATGTATGCCCTGTTTTTCACTCGCATGGTGATTTACGCTTTCCCAACTGGTATCTCACTTTCCCAACTGGTAAGTTAACTCATGATTCTTCCCATTTTACAGAATAAGAAGGGAGGATGAGTGTGACTTATCCTAGCAGAGCTATTTTCCATGTTGAGTCAGATCTAGAATTACAAACACAGGTTTCCTAAATCTCAAGCCCAGTTCTTGCAACTGGACCTGGATGTCTGCCTTCACAAGAACCCCAGGATGCTGAAAAAGTCAAAGATTAATGGTGTTTAATATATAATTTGGACCAGCAACACCTCCACACATCTTGAATAAGGATGGATGGAGGTGTTGCTGGTCCAAATTATATATTAAACTGCAGACATCTTCTACTGATGGGTTACAAGTCACAATTGGGTTGCGCCTTGACCTAGAGTGAGTAAACTAGGGATGAAAGATTGTGTCAGCCCATATATAACCAACAGATCGCTGTGGTCTGCAGGTGAGGGCTTCCTGCAGATATCATCTTCTCAATATGTCCCTTCTGCACAGCATAGGAATTGGGGCCTTTAACATAGTAACACCTACCCTTTAAATTCCCTCCTGTTAAATATTAGGGGCCTCCTCTGTTGACATTTTGGCACCTACTGACTACCTTATTCTAACAAGCCTTTTAAGCCGAGATTTTTCCCCAGTCTGCATCTGTATAAACATAGTTTTTAGATTATTTTAGACATGTGTTAATTGTTTTAGCATTTGTGCAGCTGCCACCCTGGGCTCCTTCGGGAGGAAAGGCAGGATACAAACTGAAGAAACAACAACAGGTCAGGGAGGAAAACCGGCAGGGGGCATTCTTTGGGCTTCTCTTCCAGCTGGAAAATATTTTAGGCTGGTACCTGTTTTTGCTGGGCAACAACATTCCTGACACTTGTGCAATGCTGGCTGCTCAACTCCTGCTCAGTAACATCCATACGATGGATGCAGCAAGCATGGCTCAAGAACAAGCAACTGGCCAAGCCCTGCCTCCCCCCCCCCAAGATGGTATCTCTTTCATGTAGTACTTTCCACTGACAATTGGGAGAAGCTAGAGCTGGGGTGATGGACCTGGAGCCATCCAGATGTTGGGTGCTTGATCATTGGTCATGCTGCCTAAGGGGCTGGATGAAAGTTATAGTCCAACAATATTTGGAGGGCCACAGGTTCTCCATCCTGGAAAGGAGAGGGGGAAAGCAGCTTCTAAGGCCGCCAAACAATCCTGAGGGATGTTGTGAGGGACTCAACAGAAAATTTCTTTCCAGTATCTTCAGGCAAGCAATAATAATAATAATTGGGAAAAAGTTAACCTTCAGATTTATCCTCCAGGAAAAGAATCAGGCCAAAAAGGATTATGGGAGTACTTCCTACAGCAACATACTCATTCCAAGGGGTTAAAATAAGATAGCTAAATAGAAATATACTAAGCTCTCTCTCTTTTTCTCAGTTTTAACCACTCCTGCTGAGAGATTTCAAAGAAGCCCCTGAGGACTTAGTTTTCAGAAGTGTTGAGAAACTTCTAAGCTCTCAAGGACAGATATAAGGTTTGCAGGGAACCAGAACTCCTAAAATAGATATCAAATATAAAATCAGAGCATATCCAGCTAAAGCCACACACACCCCAACCCATGAGTTTCATCTTGCTCATCTTTATTGCGCAGACTTGCTAAATCTCAGGTAGCTATTGAACCAGTTCTCAGGACTTCAAGGTCTCTACAAATTCTAGCCTAGGTGTGGGGACCTTTGGCCTTCCAAATATTGCTGAGCTACAACTCCCACAATCCCTAACCCTTGGCTATGCTTGCTAGGGCCGATGAGATTGGAGTTCAGCAACATCTGGGGGGCTAAGGATCCCCATTCCTACTCTAAGCCGACGTGGTGGTCCCCAGCTGTGTTGGATGACAACTCCCATCAGCCACAGTGAACATGGCCAAGGGTCAGAGATTATGGAAGTTCTCATTCACACCATCTGGCAGCTACCCTGCACCTACAGAATAAGCTACATTAAATCACCAGCAACACCCTAAAGGTGTTCCAGTTCAGGCACAATGTTGCGAATACACAAAGAACATGGCTGCACTGGCGCTGGCTGTTTCTGCCATTGTGATGACACCATCTGCAACAAGGAAACAGGCTACTATGCTGATTACATGGATCAGAAATGCCTGGGGAATTCATTTATGATTCCAGTTTGACCACCACACTTGCACTTGGGAGCACAACCAAGCAAAAAGCTCTTGCACTCCTGGTTCAGCACCTTGGGCAGTAACTTTCTGGCGCCTCATCTCAGAACTGCTTCCTGGACCCAAAGGATGCATGAATAGATAGTGCAAGATGAAGTTACAGAGTGTGGGGCTGCGGTCCATAGGGGTGTGGTGTGTGCTGGATGTGTATTGGTTCCTTATCTTGAAACCAGTACACAGATGCACTCTGAAAGATGAGAGACATTTCATACGGCCTATAGGACAAGTGCCACTTTCCGCTGTCAAAAAATTCAACTGGATACTGAAACTTTGATGAGTGCAGTCCAACCGTCACCCATATGATGTGAACGCCGTCGAATGTGTTCCCACCCACTGCCTTATGACAGCAGGCAGCAATAGCAGAATCAGGTGGGAAAGAAAATGCTTGTGGTTTGGGGGGTGTTTGTTTTTTGCTTACATCTAGTCATATGAATTTAAAAGCAGGAAGAAGGGAAGAAAATGATGATGAAATAGTTCCATGCTGTTCTACAAAAAGCATCTATTTTGAGGCAGGGCAGGAGATATCTAAAGCCAGCTACTTGTGGAGGATGCATCAGCGCTTTGATGCCATGGTGATAGGTTCCTTAGAAAGACCAAAAATAGAGCAAGATGGATGAGAGGAGTTCAGAGAGGGGGTGGACACGTTTTACAGTGATGGATCTTTTTTAAAGACTGCAAAATACACCCACTTTCCTGGTTTAATAACTGCCTTTTCCTCAAAGAAGAGAGAAGAACGAGGAACAGTGACTATTGGACCTTTGGTGGAAAGAAACAGTAATATGTTGAATGAAGGTGCCGCCCACTAACCATTTGGGAAGGGCAAAGTCACATAAGCAAGGCCTTGACCTCTGCTGCTCCCCTGCTTGAAATGAAGCTGGTGTTCAAATAATCACTGAAACAGATATAATCAAGCTGGCACAGAATTCCACAAAGCTCAGAGTTAACCCTTAGCTAGGTCATATCCGCACATTTTGGGAAGAAGGGTTATGTCAGGGAACTGTCATCAGCTCAGAGGCGAGAGGTGGAAGGGCAGTTGGGTTACAGGGAGCCTCCAAAGATCGTGAGAATCAGCACTTCCTCCGTGGAGGAGGGAAGCCACGCCTCCAGTGGAGAAGGGGTGCAGGGCTCGGAGGATGCAATGGAGAGCCACAGCACCGAGCAGGAACAAAGCGGGGGGGAGGCAGGTCCCCCTCTGCCCATGCCCTCTTTGCGCAGTCGGTTTACGCGCAGAGAGGGGAGGCGTAGGATGGGGGTCAAAAGACTACTCTGCTGGGCAAAGTTTAAGGACCACCCACTCCCAGATTCTGCTAGCTGAGCAGACATGGAATTGAGTTGATCTTCATTGTGAACGTTTTGGACAGATAATAAAGCCTTGAAAAGACCAACGGGGAGTCTTGCCTGTTTGCTCTCAAGCTACCATGCCGGCACACATAACAGGTTACAAAACTCTTCGTTCCCTCTCTCTGACCAAGTGAAACCTACCAGGAAGGAAGTCTAAGCTGGATGCTCCAAGCTTAGACTGCATGGCTTAAGCAAACCATCTTTGTGATTCTATACAAATAATTTAGAAACATTTACCATTTTGAAACCTAAGTTATATTGCCTGTCTCTTCTTGCTGCTATATGGAAAAGAACATGAATCAGACCTTTCAAGACTTTGTAAGTAAACCATTTTTAACTTACCAAACGTGTAGTCTCTTTCTGTGCTACTTTGGAAGCAACTCAGAATGGGATATTTTGAAGGTCTAACAGCCTATATTGCCACACATTGCTGTGCTGCATGCTTTGTGATATTAATTCTCTGCTGGAGTTCTCTCACCAAAGAGTACTTGTCCCAAACCTGGATCTTAGGCATCTGGGGAATATTTTATTTTACCATGTCTAGTATATTTTTCCTTTTCAACCAAATATAAAACAAATTAAGTTGGAAGTGTCTCTGTGTCTCTCTCATGGAAACACAAAGGTGAAAAAACTTGATCTGACACATGAATGCATTATTTATTTAACAATATAACCAATTTTGTCATTGCAAGGGGAAGAGGAAGAAGCATCATGAGCCATTCACCTCTGAAGGTTTTCAAACAAGGGCATCTTCAAATGGAGGAGGAGGAGGAGATGAGTGCATTTCGTAGACCTGGAATGTAGGTCTCCTCTTCATTTCCCGGGCCATTTGACAGACTGCAAAAGGCCAGCAACAATGAACTGCCATCCAGTCTTCACACAGGGTTCCCTGCAGGGGGGAAGAGGAAGAGAACCTTTCCACACAAGGATGACTGAGAAACCATTTTTCCATGTCACTAAGCACTGGTCTCATTAGGCTCTCTGTACACTACCTCATCACCCTGATTCCAACCCTTTTTTAAAAGAGAGAGACAGAAATCATGGGTTTCTTCCACACTAAACAATATCATACATCCTCCATTTGCTCCATTTATACATAAAATCCAAACCCCGATGATGCCAACCCATTACATTCCTCTGTGACAATTAAAAACTACAACATTAAACTGCAGAGCCCTCCTTTCAGTGGGGACTAGCAAAGTGCTGTTGAGGCTTCCCAGGGCTACTGGCCTTTTCATTTTCCAGCTTGACACCTGCTTCCCAGCTCCTGACATTTCAACTAGTTGCAGCCTCTTCACTTGAGAAGCACTGGGGATACCGATATCAGCCAATCATTAGCCACATCCTATTCCCTGTGAGGCAAAAATGTTTGTTCATTCATCTCTCTTTTTTATGGTTATAACTATGTGATCTTCCCACACAATAATGTTTTGTCTGATCATGTGCCTTTCCCATCCCAGCTTTGCTTTGCTTTTTTACCTTGGGATCAAGGCTTTCCTCACATTTTCCAGCACTGAAATGAAGATCACACCTGTGTTTTTAAAGGTAGTAAACAAGCCATTTCCCTATTTCCCCACACCCTGGCAGCACAGGTTTCTGAACTGCATGATGCTACCCCTGCCCCACAACCAGACACTGTTGACTATAAAAACAACAACCCTGCAGCACAATTCTGTGTGTGTCTAATTCAGCGCTAAATCCCACTGTGATCAGTGGGGTTTATGCTCAGCCAGGTAAACCTGAAGAACACTACAGCCCTTGGTCTCACAGAACAGACAAACACTGATAGCGTTCCTCCTTTTCAGTGACAGAAAAGTTGAGCTGGTTCTCCCCACCAGGACAGATTGGTAAATTAGATTTCCAGCCCTGTGCTGCTGGAGAAAAAAATGTGAGAGAATGTATCTTCTAAACCACAGAGAACATATTGTTGAGGGTGGTGTCGCATAGTATATATCAGGCTTCCGCAACCTCAGCCCTGTTTTTGGCCTACAACTCCCATGATCCCTAGCTAGCAGGACTAGGGGTCAGGGATGAAGGGAATTGTAGTCTCAAAACATCTGGAGGGCCGAGGTTGAGGAGGCCTGGTATATATACGCCAGGGGGTTGCCAAACCGGGAATGTCTGCTGATTTGGTTGCCATTTGCTGATTACTGGCTAATGGCTAAAGGGGGAAGTGGTTGTGCAGAATCAATGCCATGCCCACATCTACCTAGGAGACATGTTCTGTTCCACACTGCTTTTCTCTCACCACCACAACCCCAATTTCCTGAAATGTACATGGATGGGAAAGAAGAAGAAGAGGAGTTTGGATTTGATATGCTGCTTTATAACTACCCGAAGGAGTCTCAAAGCAGCTAGCATTCTCTTTTCCCTTTCCTCCCCAACAACAAACACTCTGTGAGGTGAATGAGGCTGAGAGACTTCAGAGAAGTGTGACTGGCCCAAGGTCACCCAGCAGCTGCATGTGGAGGAGCGGGGATGTGAACCCGGTTCACCAGATTACCAGTCTACCGCTCTTAACCACTACACCACACTGGCTCTCATTTTGATGGAGATATTTCCCTGTGAAAATATGCACAGCGACCTTATCAAGTCCATGGCACAATATGGTGGGTGCTGGTGGTTCTACCTCATTCCCTGGGGTGCAACCTTCTGTTTGCCACATACTCGTTGTTCAGGAGCGCAATGGTGCAGCTCCAGGGTCATTTTTCTTTCAGTGGAGATGTGCTGCTCCTTCATGCAGCGCATGTTGCGCCTACATTCCACTACTTCACATGCACTCAGTCCTGGCACTCCAGCCTTTAGCCCAGCCTAAGATACACTGCCAAGGAAATGCTCCTGTTTCATTGGGTAGATAGCCTTTTCTGAACTTCCAAGTTTATTTCGCCAAAGAGTAGAGAATTTCCACTACAGACACATCCTAACTAAAGTATCCCACAAACATCCCAGAACTGATGTACTTTCAACCTCACAATGCACTCAGTGGAGGCAAATAGAGCCCTGCCCCACCAGCATCAGTCTGCTCTCAGCTAGCCCCCACCTGGCGGCCATCTTGTCAGGGGCTCTGCCTGTCAGTGGCTCTGGCTCCACCTACCCTCCCTGTCTTCTGCCCCACCATCCAACGGGCCCCAGTCACCACAGAATGCACTCCCACAAAATGTTAAATTAATATGACAACGTTTGGCTTTTGCTTATCAGGATAAAAGCTATGTGAGAAAATACACCACGTTTCCTCGATTCCTTCTGGCATCTTTTCCCTTCCTTCTTCCTGAATATGGGGCAAATGTATATTTTGCCCTCAAAGGGATATTTTAAAATGGGCTGTGCAATTTTGAAGCTACAGCAAAGAAAAACAGAGCTGCTCTTCCCCATTACTTTTAAAATATGGGTATTGGCTTGGCATGCCATTATAAACATAAGCACTGCCTTTTCCTTAAGAAAAAAAGGCTATTCCAAAGGTTTAATGCATTTGCTTGGCTTTAAGGAGGCACCACACCAGCAGAATAAGAGATATTTTCCCCATAAAGAGTGGAACAGTGGTGGTTTTGGAAAGGCAAGGGATGCATACTATGAGGCACAGAGATTTTATGCTGAACTTTTCACCCTCAAAAATATTTCAAGTCATTCATTAGCAAACTGAAGATCCCCCTGCCATGCCAACAGATTTTAAATTACAGCTATGGCCTCCAACAGTGGGGAGAGGAAGAAGTGTTGATGCCCAGATTTGGCTTTCTTTCAGATTGTAAAAGGCCATAGCTCAGTGGTAGAGCATCTGCCTTGTAAGCAGAAGGTCCCGGGTTCAATCCCTGGCGTTTCCAGGTAGAGCAGGGAGAGACTTTTGCCTGGAACCCTGGAAAACCACTGCCAGTCAGTGCAGACAAACTGAGCTAGATGGACCAATGGTCTGATCCAGTATAAAACAGTTCCTGTGCTCCTAAATATTTCTTAGCCGCCTTTCAAGACTAGAACCTTGCCAAGGTGCAATGGCATTGCATCCTTTACTGGCACCCGGGTACACACACACACACACACACACACACACACACGGCAAGGCCAGGGTCTGGGAGCAGAAGATGAACAAAACCTGTCGCACCAGCTGAACCCTCACTGCTGCTGGGCAGGCATGGGGCATGGAGGGTTCATGCTGTGCCGCCTACCCACACAGTTGGCCTGGTCAACCAACGTGGCCCTTGGTGGGTGCATCCCCCCAACACTGGCCAGGGGGCCTGGGTGCAGCAGCAAGGCCAGGCTGGGCTCTAGGGCCCAGAGCAATGGTGAAGCTGCATGCTCCGACACTGGGAGCAGAGAGCAGGCAAAGGCGTGGCTGGTGCGTGTCCCATGTGTGTGGCTGGCGTGCGTCCTGGGGGCGTGGCACATGTCCCAGGGCCGTGGCACGCCACCCACAGGAGCGTGGTGCCTGGCACAGTAGGGGGGTGCAGCACATGTCCAGGGGGCAGCTGTGATGGTACCCCCCTCCCCGATGGTGCCGGGGTCGGTGCGCTCCCGCCGCCCCCCCTTTCCTCCGCCAGTGGCCCAGAGACCCTGAGTAGCAGGCAGGGCAGGGATCCCTGCATGGGTGTGCCTGGCTTGTGCCCCCACAAAACCATGCACCTGGGTCTATGGCCCCCCAGGCCCTCCCCATGCTACGCCCCTGCCAAGGTGACTTACAATTGTGCATACCTATATATATTTGTGTGTGAACATTCTTATGAACACACACAAGTTCATTCATAATAATTTTTAAAAACAGGAGCGTAGGAAGTTGCCTTATATGTTTGGTCCATCTAGCTCAGTATTGTCAACACCGGGTGGCAGCAACTTTCAAGGGTTTCAGGCAGGGGACATTCCCAGCCCAACCTGGAGATGGCAAGGAATTGAACTGGGGACCTTTTTCATGTATGTGCTCTGCCACATGATCCATGGTCCTTTCCACAGTTACAATAAAGCAACCAGTTTAAGAGAAGCCAGCTATAGGAAAATACAGGTCGGCACACAACAAAGCCCTGAAATCTGAGGTAAAACCAACAAGAACCCAGGAGCGGCAAATGTAGCAATACTTTTCAGTGAATATCCAGAGAAAATGGGTTTTCAGAGATGTCTTAAAGGCCATGACTGTTGGAATCAGATACACACACACACACACACACACACACACACACACACACACACGGAATTCCATGGGGTAGGAAACACACCACTCCTACACTGTGCATTGTGGGTGCTGGACTTACATGGACTTACACGTATTTTGTGACTCTCCCTGGTGCCGACTCTCAAGGCCAAGGTGGAACCCAGCAGCAGAGGGAAACAAAAGCACTCCCCGAATCGGCTTGCAACACTG